TGATCCCCTGTACACTTATACTGTAAATACATTTAAGGTTGAGGGATTGTCTTATTGCCTGCTTCTTCTTGCCTCTGATACTATTACTCTCTTGTTTGCACCCAGTATTACATTTCAACACTGATAGTTGATTAAAAATCTTCAACATGAGCTACTGTAGTTGTGTTGAGCCTTGTCAACTATTTGCTCCATCACAATCAAGTATAATAATTACAATGTTGCACTACTGTTAAGGACTGGTTCACAGGGAGGCTCCAGGCAACTCAAGGGTATGCCAAGGGTGAGTAGGACTTGGCTTCAGCTTATGTATTGTGCCCTTGTGGAAGTGTTAGTGTCCTTGTACATACCATATGCAAACAACAGCAGCAAAACCACATGCATCCTCAATGACTTGCAACACAAACATCATGTTATAACAGTCATAACATGCATGTGAAGTAGGTTTTATAATGTAGCCATATATTGCAATATATGTCTACAATTTATTGTGGTTTTAAATGTTATATACATCGAGAGATATCGCTGATTTTCTCAGCGCGACCATAATTGCATTTCCGAGGCAGGCCCGTAACCTGTCCCGAAACAGAATGTCAGGATAAGTAATATTACCGAATTTATCAAATTTGGGCCTCTGATTGCAATCTTATGGCTACAACTTCTGAAAAAACAATTTTTTGCCTCCCATGTCCCCTACTACAATATGGTATTTCATCATACTCTTTATGGTAACACAACCAGAACGGCAATGAAAGTCACCCGCCTCATTACGTATATATCCACGAAATTAATTCCAGTAGTCACGGGACGAGTCCAATACTTAAGTATTAAGACATACAGTGGATTTTATCAAGCTCATCTCATCGATAGATATGTCCTCTTCTCACGAAATTCCAACAACACAGAGAGCATGGGTTGTAACAAAGCGTGGGTCACCGAACGAAGCTGTCATACTAAGAGAGGATTTTCCAGTAGACTCAAAGTTGAAGAAAGGTGAAGTCTTAGTCAAAGTGGGTGCTCGAGACTTCAAAATAACGGAACTCACCAATCTGATCCTCTTTGGTATACTTCAGGTCCACGCCGCAGCTCTTAATCCAGTGTTCGCTATCTTCTCCAATTGCTTTCTCACACTATGACTTACATCCCCACTACAAGAGGCTGGAAGCTAATGAAGCTGCTTCCTAATTTCATGGCTGGTCGCCCACATGTGGCAGAACATGATTTGGCCGGTGTAATCGTGGACGCCAATGATTCTAATTTTACAAATGGTGACGAAATGTTCGGGTGGATCCCTGTTCGTGCGTATTTTCAAAAACATCTGACCTCAGAAAATTCTTGAAGGTACCGTGTGTAACTTAGTGCCGTTAAGAACTGGACGAGGTGCCCTCGCACAATATGTCCGAATACGGGCTGATGAAATCTCTTTGAAACCCACCAATATTGACTTTTTACAAGCTGCTGGTATTTCCCTAGCAGGCCTCACCGCTTATCAAGGAATAGAATATATGAAACTTGAAGCTGGTCAGACGATATTTGTCAACGGGGGTACTACCGCCGTTGGTAGCTGTGCTATTCAGATGGCTAAAGCCAAAGGGTGCATCGTTGTCGCAAGTTGCTCGACGGCAAATGTGGAAATTGTGAAGAATCTTGGTGCAGATGAGGTGTGTCTATTTTTAAGGTAAAATTGACTAATGCGTAGCCCTGCAAAGGTCATCGACTATAAAGTTACATCAGTAATTGAGCACTTTATGCTAAATCCACCGTCTCCCAAATTTCACGATATTTTTGGTAAAGATGATATTGGTCTAGAATGTATGCGCACCCACTCAGAGCCTTCAAAGATACCGTAGGGTTATCCGCTGAACTATTCACCGCTTCTCCTGCATATCTGGCTCCCAATGGCAGTTTTGTCAGTGTTGGCGTTTTGAAGGGAGGTTTTGGAAATATACTTATGGCGTTTGTGAAAACCGAGTTGTGGCCATCATGGTTGGGTGGCACAAACCGCAAGTATAAGTGAATAGTAGCGTATTCAAATTTAATCATGTTGTTACTCATCCAATTACCTCTTAGACTTCTCTCCGTGGCCAATAAGAAGAATGATTTGGATGCACTGGGAAATCTTATTACGGATGGTCCGTCAATTACTCGCAAAATATTTATTTGAGCAGAACAGATTCAGCTACTTTACAGGGAAAGTAAACCCGTTGATTGATTCGACATTCCCTTTCACGGATGTGCAAAAAGCATACCAACGTATTTTGACTGGGCATGCTAGAGGTAAGGTTGTAGTGCATATAGTGTGAGGACATGGTTATGTCATTGCCTTATTCCGACTTGGGGTACTTACCTGGAGTCTATCATGTGTAAATTTATATTGTATAGGAGGATTTTACGCGAAGTAATTACGACAAGCAGGACCTCTTTTGAAGGAAAGGCTTCTTAAGCATGCAAGAAAGAGCAAACGAAGTAAAGGCTGAAAGCGATCTTTTGATGGTTTGATATATTTGCACAATGGTGTAATCAATATTAGAAAACATTCGAGTACTTTGGCAGTTTTTCGCGGTGCGCTAGCACGACATTGTATACGTATACGTATACCTGACCGAAACGGAGTGAATTCACAAGGCCTTCAGTAGTGAGATGTTAACCATCGACATATTAATAATTTGTTAACTTCTAATCTGACAAGAGCTTATTTGGACTCCATTTTGTAGATGTTTTAAAGCGGATATGAAGCAGGCTGACAGATAGATACATTAATGCATGCATCAATGATCTATATAAAGAAGCAGTCAAGATTGTTCAGTTACTATTTTACAGCTTCGATCACGAATAATTCGTCAAAATGGACTTTTATCTCTGTTGGACTAGAGTTAGTAGCTGAATAGTCAAGCCTACCTGCTATTCTACAGAATATTTAATATATATCAAGGTCTCGTTGTCATTTAGGGTGAGATACGAAACAAAAAGATAAGAGTCTCCGCAAGAAATTATGAAATATGACCCGATGCTACCGGTTCCATTTGAGATTCAGGTCTAATTGGGAAGTTCTGTATGTTCACAAGGTTCACCTACGTACGCGAGATAAAAACATTATTTGTCTCATTGAAATGCATAGAAAGTGTCATGTAAAGCTTAATGCGCGGTTCTAATAGGAACTGGGGCAATTTCGGTGAGGAATGCGCGGGGTCACATTGAGGGTGAATGGAACACGCCTATAAAACCCATCTTCCCTGATCCCACACCTGAGGAAGAAGAAGCTGTTCAGAGAAAGGAGGGTAAGGAGTTTAGGGAGAGGAGCGAAAGGGAATGAATCATGGTTAAGAAAAGGAGGGGGGGCTGAGTATGAGGAGACACAACGAGTGGTGTGCCAGGGAAGGAGTACCATATGAAAGGAAGGCATTAAGGAAGAAAGAAAGAAGGAGTAAGGAACCATTTCCATTACCCCACCAGAAGGATGGAAATGGATTGACTTCATGGAGACTGACATAAGTGATAATGGAACACCTTGCATCAGAATGGTCAGTAACAAGAATCGGAAGGGAAGAGAAGGGACCATGTCCTATAATTGGGAGCTCATCAGGAGGATTAAGCTTCAAAGAATCAACCTAATGTGAGGGGATGGGAATGAGTTGCCCCCAAGGCTTATCTGTCAGTGTAGTCCCATGGGGGACTTATCAGAATGGGCTGGTAAACTCTTCATCTGACTTGGATGGGAGTTGTGAAGAGAACCCAGCTTATGGACACAAATGGGCACAGATAATCCTTCAGTTTGGAGGTTCAGTGCAAGAGGCTTGGGGAGGAGTCCCAGAAATTCTCCAAGAGTTCATATAATATACCTCTTTGAACTGGGGGGCACTATGAGGGAGTTAGTGTAATATTTCCTTGTTTCTATATTTCTGGGGAAGTTCCCCAGCCTTCTAACATTTCTCCCTAATTTTTTCTATATTTTCCTTGATATATTTTGATTAAGGTATTCTCTGAATATATTATCTTATAGTTAGTTCGAAGCATCATGTATACTTGTGGGAGGTACTAAAAGAAAGAGACTTTTTACCCTGAAACCTTGATGTGCAACATAGTGCAAGTTGAGGTTTGGGGATCATCTCAGATATGTTGGACAGCCTCAATGCATGATTACTCTTTAAGCAACTTGCTGACCTCATACCTTAAGGGTTGAGGGTCAATACTCTACTAAAGACCCCCACTCACCAACTTAGATCTTCCATTGCATCTCTCCACTACATCCACTTCTTAACTTCAAACACTCTTTGTGTCTTTTCTAAGTACAATCCATTACAAGCAAACTCTCTTACTTTCAGAGCATTCATGTATTTTCCAAACATGGTGTTCTGTCTCATGTAACTTCTGATCAACATGATCACTAGGGAATTGAACCATCAAGGTCAATTCCCTAACTCAAACCCCTTAAAATTTCAGTTGTCAAGTAACCATACAGTTACTCATGACTTCAACTGGCTATCCATCTCATTTCTTACCCATTCTCTCTCTGCTATCTATATTGTACAGAATCAGTCAATATTCTTCATACACAGAGGGGTTATGTATTTACACAATTCTTCACACAACTCTTCACACAATGGAATGATTCAAGGAATAAAAGAAAGCTGTTGGAACAGAAACAGAAGAGCATGGCCAAAAAAGGAAATCACTTGAAGATGAGTTGTTGGGACACCATCAGAGATGCCAGTATTGGAGGCACTGAAGGGCATGTTGGCAGGACAAATTACAAGTGGGGTTCCAAAAAGGTAGTTCCTATGTAACAGTACCCCCCCCCACTGGGTTGATCCCCTATGAGAATCTTCTAGAAAATGATGTAGGTGCATGTGTCTGCTTGGATGAATTATTTCACCTATCAATTTCAGTCATGCATGCTTATTAAATATAAAAATTTGAATTTTATTCCAATGACTCTTGTCTTCCCTCTACTTCATCATGTCTTCACAACCACTCTTTTGTACATAGGTAATGTAGAAAACGAATGGCTGGACTGGGAATTGAACCCAGGGTCTTTCATGTATATAGCAAGGGTGTTAACCACTACACCACCAGACCTTGGGTAGGTGTCTCTGTCCAAGATTCTCCCAAAGTTGAAGCTAACATGTTGAGGAGCATTCACATCAACCAGCCTAAGATCATCTCGAACTTTAAACAGTTAAGCATCCTGATATACAATTTCAATAAGGTTCTCAAGTTGACATTCCCACCTCGACCAGTCCTCCTTTGATGGACATACCTGGGTAGGCTGGTCTATGCTGAGCCCACTGACAAGAGGTGGAAGTCCTTCTACCCCCCTCAATTTGAAGACAATGAGATAAATGACATTGCTCTGGATTATTCAAGGTTATATCAGAACATGCCAGGAATTGTATCTCTTTGGTGTGATGGTGTGAGGGGTGCCCCTCTCTGTGAAATATAACCATTTCATTGTATTATATTTCTTAGATTTTTCTCTTATTTTCTACCATTTTTCTAACTAAAGTATTCTTCATTTATATTCATTATGTTAGTTCAAAGATATATGTACACCTGTGGGTACATACAGTAGACTCTTATGGGCACATACAAACCTCTCCCACTAACAGGAAGGTCATTGACAAACACATGGACACCTGGGTTCAGCAAGAAGTCCCAAGAGCCCTTGGGGAGCCCCAGCATTCATCATCTACTGCAATGAGAAACCTCAAGTAGTAATTAATTACCGAAAGCTAAACAGCATTACTGTCCATGACGAGTTCCTATTGCCACATTAATCAGAAATAATGTAAGCCTTATCCAGATCCAACATTTTGTCCTCTTTTGACACATTAGTGGGCTTTACCCAACTTGAAATGCTGGAAGAAGACAAACTGAAAACTGCTTTCAGATCCCATAGAGGACTGTGGCAATTTAAGAGAATGCCATTTGGATTAAGGAATGGACCTTCCATATTTCAGAGAGTTATGCAAGCTGTACTGGCATCCTATCTATGGATTTTCTGCCTGGTTTACATTGATGACATCATGATCTTTTCTAAGACATGGGATGATCATCTGGAACATTTGGATCTAGTCTTACAAGCCATTATTGTGGCTGGCATAACACTCTCCCAAAAAATGTGTTATGTTGGGTACAACTCTATCCTGTTGCTCGGACATAAAGTATTGCAACTCAGTTTCTCAACCCATCAAGAAAGGATTGCTGCTATATTGGAACTAGCCCAACCCACTAAGATAGGAGAGCTACAGCACTTCCTCAGAATGGTCTTACAGGCCGGGTTTCCGGAGAAACCCGTGGGATATCCGGTAGGACTTGGCTTCAGCTTATAGGCTGCACCCTCGCTAGATCGTGTTGTCCAATTTCAGACAGGTGGACGGGAGTCCCGGGGAGCCCGGGCAGGGTTCGTGGGTTGTAAGTTGGAGGTCGTGGATCGTGAGTCGAGATAGTTGAGAGAGATAGATGCGCCGGAGCCTGTGGGCTCCGACTAGTGCGAGCGATGTGAATCAAGTAAGGTTTTAGAGTGGAAAATGTTATTAGATTACTGGGGGGAATCTAAGCTAATTTTTTGACTGGATTGTATGTACAACATCTGCCAGTTTATATAGACCATGGAGTGAATGACATACCAAATCCAGTAATAATGAAACGAAACTAACAAAACATAAAATGGGAATAGTAAACACCAAATTGGTGTTAGGAACGGAATGGAATGGAGCGGAGTCCGAATCGTGACAAAGCATAACCCATAATGGGAAATGGAGTGGGAGTGGAGTCCTAAATTGTGACAGGTCATTTGACTAAAATGGGAATGGGGCTCGATTAGAGTGGTGACGGGATTCTAAGCGGGGTCTGGTGACTGATGCATGGGACGAAGACGGACATAGACAGAGATGGAGTCCAGGGGAGGTCCGGTGACTGATATGTGTCTTAATGAGGTTGAATGTAACTAGTCTTGACGTAACGGAGTCCGGGCGGGAAATCCTATAAACAGACGATTGGTGCTTGTAGCACGTGGGGGCATATGGGTTAGTGCCCAGAGTCTGGCGGGATTGTCCGGTCGTAACATTAACTCTTTAAACCAACTAAATTTAAATTATATGAAATATATTTGAAAGTTTGCTTGTATACAAGAGAATACATCATAACCCAAAGATTAAGTCATAACCCAAATAATCTTGTGGAACTATGTCATTTGTGTGTATTTTAAAAGGGGATGCATATTTTAAAGATGAAATTTCAGGTAATTAAATATAAACTCATAGAATAAGTTGTCATGGCCAGAAGGAATAGTCTCACTTGGAAAATATGAGGATTATCAATAAAGTGTGACCATCCTCCTAAGTAATGTGACTAGGAGAATGAGTCAGTATTTCCCATACTTGACTCATAGGTGGATTTCAGAGTCATCCAACCAGCTATGACTATGTATCTGAGTCATAGATCATCCCTACTCACATTTGATATGACTAGTCAATGAGTCATCTCCCTTAATATGTAGTCAGGGAGACAAAGCAGATTACATACTACAAGGGTTAGGGACACCTCATTAGTATGTAATTCGTGACTCAGCTGGTTTCTGTTATGACTGGAAAACCTGCCAGACTCCAGACACTAACTTATATGCACCCACACCCTACATGCACCAATTATCAGTTTACTGGAATACCTGCCAGACTCTGGATGTCAGACCTGTCCATGCTCGACCTTTGTCACTTCATGTATCAGTCACCGGAATACCTGCCAGAACCCACTCTGTCTATGTATCTCTGACCCTGTCCTATGTACCAGTCACCGGACTCCACTTGGAAAACTCGTCAGCTCTCTAACTGAGCCCTGTTCCCATTATGGTCAAATGACCTGTCACAATTTGGACTCCATTTCTGCCCCATTCCCATTATGGTTTAACTACCTGTCACAATTCGGACTCCACTCTGCTCCATTCCATTCCTAACACCAAATCTGGTGTTTACTTATCTCATTTCATGTTTACTAGTTTAGATTTCATTATTACTGGATTTGGTATGTTATACATTCTACAGTCTCTATGGTCTGGCAGATGTTGTACATACAATCCAGTCAGAAAATCAGCTTAGATTCTCCCCAGTAATCTCAGTATATTTTCTGCTCTATTCTCCTCCTTGAAACACACTGCTCTTACCTCATCAGAGCCCACAGGCTCTGACCCATCTATCACTCGACCTATGACTCATCATCGCCCAACCTCTCAACCTCCACAGAATTCCTGCAGTCGACCCTCTGACCTCTCAACCCACCAACTACTCCCAGACTCCTTGGGATTCCCGTCTGCCCATCTGAAATTGGATGACACGATCTCGCGAGGGTGCAGCCTATAAGCTGAAGCCACATCCTACCAGCTTTCCCACGGGTTTCTCCAGAAACCCTCTGATAAGCTCTGCAAGCCTCTTCACAGTTTCCATGGAATCACTATGACAATGCCACCTAGCTACTTAGGGTTAAGATATGCTAATTCTAGGGTTTAGAGCTAGCAGTCATTACCACTGTGTTGCAACCTGACAGTCCCCGAGGTTATTGCTGTCTATTGACATTTCAAGTTATCGATCAAGTCATCGCATTGGAGGATAACCCAAAACTTTAAAAATTATTTATCCACTGAAGTATATATATTTATATTGTTTGTTGTAAAATTAATATTTAATCAAATTCAGTTGATTAGGTATCACTCTGAAGAATGCAAAAATATTAATATTTATCCTATATCTGACAAAATTTAGTCAAACAATCACCTGTAGATTATTCTTTTGGAATAAATTGCACAATGGGGATTGGTACCCCAGATAGTTCTGGTTAACTCTCTAAACCAACTAAATTTAAATTATATGAAATATATTTGAAAGTTTGCTTGTATACAAGAGAATACGTCATAACCCAAAGATTAAGTCATAACCCAAAGATTAAGTCATAACCCAAAGATTAAGTCATAACCCAAAGATTAAGTCATAACCCAAAGATTAAGTCATAACCCAAAGATTAAGTCATAACCCAAAGATTAAGTCATAACCCAAAGATTAAGTCATAACCCAAATAATCTTGTGTGACTATGTCATTTGTGTGTATTTTAAAAAGGCATGCATATTTTAAAGATGAAATTTCAGGTAATTAAATATAAACTCATAGAATAAGTTGTTATGGCCAGAAGGAATAGACTCACTTGGAAAATATGAGGATTATTCAGTAAAATTTTGTATATTCAATAAAGTGTGACCATCCTCCATTGGAAACTGTCAGTCTCCCGATGCTGATGTATGCTTTCATGGCGATCAAACCCCATTTACACCCCTGTCAAAATATACTTGTACTATCTGGTTATACTCTGATACATCCATTTTTATTATGATGATCCATTCTACTCTATGTTTCACATATGCCTATATATACTTGTAACCCTCAGACTATTTCCTTTTCTCATAATTCTGCTCTCAGTTAATCATGGCCTCCAAACTTATCGTAACCTTCCCGTTCCTAGTCAAGTTTATTTGTCAATAATGTTTCTGCTCTTCCCTTAGTTAGTATTTTCTAGATGCTGAATACTTGTATATGAACCTGCTGTAGTTGTAGTTACTGGGCAATCAGAATATCAACTCAGAACACCCACATACATCTCTAGAAGTCTTATACTAAGTATCCCACTCTCTGCCTATGGATGCACTTGCCCACTCTCGGTCCCTGACCCCTTGGCCCGACACTCGACTTATCCTTCAGTCCCGATTGGTAACTCACCATGAGGTACTCCTTAGGACTAGTCTTTGCCTGTCCAAAAAGGACACCCAACGGATATTTGTGAGGGTGCAGCATATAAGCTGAAGCCAAGTCCTTCTGATCAGTCCCCGTCGGCCTACTGACATTAGTCAGTTTTCAGTTCTTAACAAGCAGTAAATAATATGTTACCAGAACAATGACATCATAAAACTCTTGAGCCAAAGTTAAAGGATCCAGTCCTCTACTGTCTGACTAATGTCCTTTAAAGGTTAAACAGAGAAACAAAGTGATACAATATATGACAGTCTGCAATGTGATCAAATTCTGGACTTGCAAA